TATTTCTATCTTTGTCTACATGTGTCTGTCTCTATGTTCATATCTATATAAAAATATCAATCTATCTCTCTCTCTCTCTCTATCCCTCTCTCTCTCTATATATATAGCATAATAAGAACCACGTATACTTTCTTAATATGTATATATAGAAAAAGTTGCAAATTAAAAAAATAATAATGTTCTTTTATGAAAGTATTTATTTATTTGTATATATATTTCATATTTCAGATTGGCCTCAATCTTTCTTCAGAAATAACTGTTTGTTTACAAGTAGCATCCGTCGCGAGATGCGGACGTCACGTGATATGGAACGAATATTCCTAACGTAAATCTAACTGTAATAATATCTTAGATGTTGTTTAAAAATTAAAAAAAAATAAAATAAGAAATAAAATTTTTTTAACTATATCTAAAAAATGTTTAACTATTGAAATATTTATAAATATTTAAAATACCCAAGTCTTTATTTAACCCTAGTTTATATGTATTTAATTTTAAGACCCAGTATTTTTCTTTTTTTCTGCGTGTATATGTGGAACTGAAATCAGAATCTATCAATAAACATTTACAGTTTTCTAATGAGTGTCCTGACTGATTAAAGTGTTTAGCTATGGGGGAATAAGGATTGTTTTGACGTATGGTTTGTTTATGATTGTTGAAGCGAAATCTAAAATTATTTCCAGATTCACCAATATATCCACTATTAGAACATAAGGTGCAGAATAAATAGTAGATTATGTTATGGCTATCTCAGGTGAGGTGAGGTGGATGTATCTTGATATTGGTGTTGAGTACAGATATGGGTGTTCTGTACCCAACACCAATATCAAGACGGACGCTACATGTAAACAAACAGTTATTTCTGAAGAAAGATTGAGGCCAATCTGAAATATCAAATATATACAAATAAATACTTTCATAAAAGAACATTATTATTTTTTTAATTTGCAACTAAACAAAACAAAATGAACACAAAACGACCAGCTTTAAAAAAAGGACTCATAACTGGAAAAACCGAATGAAAAAAGAATATTAACAACAAATACTTTTTCACACCCAACCCAGTTCTGCGGAATCAGAATCAACGTTGAGTTTGAGCAACCGAATGAGCCAATTGGAGTAAAGTGCCATGCAGATTAAAATTTTTCCCACTTGTGACGAATTCAGCTATCGATTATTTTTTGCATGCTAGCATGCTAGTTAACATTCGTGTCAGTCAGCTGTTGGCTCTCACGCTAACCAATAGAATCTTCTTGCCTATTCGTGGCAGCCAGCTATAGGCTCTCACTCTGGCCAGTAGAAAATGGCCGCAAACTACATGAAAACTGCCGTAGAAGCATGAAAAAATTTATTATTTCCACTATTGATGGGAGTTGGGAAATGCAAAGTCAGTGTTGGCCTTCCCGCTAACTTGGAGCATGTGCATGTAAATTTGGGTGCAAATCCGTCGAAAATTGCGGCCGTACATTCGTTACACACACACACACACAAACACACACATCCTGCCTTATATATATATATATATATATATACGCTTCTGTCTATCTATGTATGCCCATACCTATATAAATCTCTCCTTATCTATCTATCTATCTATCTATCTATCTATCTATCTATCTATTTCGGTTTGTCCATTATCTATCTACCCATCTGTCTCAGTCTGTTCATTATCTATCTATCTATCTATCTATCTATCTATCTATCTATCTATCTATCTATCTATCTATCTTCTTATTGTTATTACATATATTTAGTTTGACTATTGTCTGTTGTCTTTTGAAAAAAAAAACAAGTATGGTCCGAAAGCAATACTTCGTTAAGTAAAACCAATGCATGGAGAACAATAACACTATTTTTTAATATAGTTACTGACATTCGGTAGACATTTATATAAGTAATGAACATTGTTTGTTACATAGATTCCTATTGACACTGCTCTAAGACAGTACCCACCACCTAACTGTGCTCATATCTATTGTTTGGTCTTCGAAAAGTATCGATGAATGTCAATATGTGCAATTTTGTCCACATGATGGCATTAAATGACACCTGTCTCCTTCATAAGCAGTTTCATGCCACTCACAATTTTGCCAGTTTGCAGCTGAGCGTCTGTCTGTAACAAGGCAAACAAATATGATAGATTATTGAGACGGAGGTGACGTTTCTCTACCAAAGAACGTAGAGAAATATGAAGCATTAACTTTGGACAATCCTTCCTATATATACAAAACTAAAGTTCATTATCTGTAATTATTTTTGGTTTTCCATTGTCATGCAAGTTTTTTGTTATTTATGTGTTTTACACTCAACATTATATCTTAAATTTTAATCCCAATGTTTTTAAATATTTTTCCATATAGTTTCTTTTTCTTTATATTCTTCTTTTATTCATTTATCCATATTGTTTCTTTTTCTTTATATTCTTGTTTTATTCAATTTTCTATGTTGTTTCTTTTTCTTTATATTCTTGTTTTATTCATTTTTCCATATTGTTTCTTTTTCTTTATATTCTTGTTTTATTCATTTTTCCATATTGTTTCTTTTTCTTTATATTCTTGTTTTATTCAATTTTTCATATTGTTTCTTTTTCTTTATATTCCTGTTTTATTCAATTTTCCATATTGTTTCTTTTTCTTTATATTCTTGTTTTATTCATTTTTCCATATTGTTTCTTTTTCTTTATATTCTTACTTTATTTTTTCGTATTGTTTCTTGTTCCCACAGATTCTAAATTTATTTATTTTTCCGTATTGTTTCTTTTTCTTTATATTCTTGTTTTATTCATTTTTCCATATTGTTTCTTTTTCTTTATATTCTTGTTTTATTCAATTTTTCATATTGTTTCTTTTTCTTTATATTCCTGTTTTATTCAATTTTCATATTTTTCTTTATATTCTTACTTATTTTTTCGTATTTTGTTCCCACAGATTCTAAATTTATTTATTTTTTCCGTATTTTTTTCTTTATATTCTTGTTTTATTCATTTTCCATATTGTTTCTTTTTCTTTATATTCTTGTTTTATTCAATTTTTTCTATTGTTTTTTTCTTTTATATTTGTTTTATTTTTTCCATATTGTTTTTTTTCTTTATATTTTCTTTATATTGTTTGTTTCACAGATTCTAAATTTATTTATTTTTCCATATTGTTTCTTTTTCTTTATATTCTTGTTTTATTCATTTTTCCATATTGTTTCTTTTTCTTTATATTCCTGTTTTATTCATTTTTCCACATTGTTTCTTTTTCTTTATATTCTTACTTAATTTATTTTTCCATATTGCTTCATTATATTTATATTCTTGCTTTATTTATTTTCCATATTGTTTCCTTTTCTTTATATTTTTACTTTATTTATTTTTCCGTATTGTTTCTTTTTCTTCATATATTTGCTTTATTTATTGTCTGTATTGTTTCTTTTTCCCTCATATTCTAGTTTTATTTATTTTCCGTATTGTTTCTTTTCCTTATATTCCTGATTTAATTATTTTTCCGTATTGTTTCTTTTTCTTTATATTCTCGCTTTATTTATTTTTTTGTATTGTTTCTTTTTCTTCATATTCTAGTTTTATTTATTTTTTCTTATTGTTTCTTTTCCTTTATACTTTTGCTTTATTCATTTTTCAATAAGAAACAATACGGAAAAATAAAGCAAGTTATTCTTGTAATTTTATTTTCGTTTGAATATGATTAGGAGAACACAATGAGGAAAGAACGCTGGGGAATTTGACACTCACGGGATATAATGAAGATAAGCCAAACAGGAGGATACAAGGAGGAAACAGCAGGCAGGACTTGTGTCGATGGAATGGCCCAACAGGGTTCGGTGCCGGATAGTAAAGCGACAAACATTGTTTAGTGCTGCCAATGATGAGAAGATGTGGTGAGCCATGATCGACCGTATCATGAAAGAACACAGCACATAAAAAATAAAGAAGAGGTTTGTCCATATTTCTGAGATGAGGTGTATTTAATTTCGGACTATTGTCCTCATCTTTGTCGCCATATTTGTCACAACGTTTCGGCCGTTGTTCCGGCCTTCTTCAGGTGGTTGGAATTTCGAACTGAATTTCGCTGGGGTAGACTGTTCTAATTCCACGGAAAGGAATTAAAGGGAGAGACAGGCCAGGTAAGGCTTCAAGAACACCAGAAAGCTGTAACGCGGGGGGAAAAATCAGGCGTGGCTGACCACATATGGAGAGAGAAAATCATGGGATTGAGATCATAGACAGGGAACACCATTGGTTCACAAAAATGAGCCGACCAAGCATAGAAATAAATACGGGAACCAACAATGATAACAAAAGTTGCATGAACCTGGTTTAACAAAAAAAAATTGCAATATGAGCACTGGTAAAATGATGAAAAACATTAGGTTTATAATACTCAGTTCATACCCAGATGTCCCTCAAGGACACATGGAATCGTTGGTTGATCCAGTGAGTTCAATTCCTGGTTAAGGCAGTGGAGTTTCAGAGGGAAAAATTTAACTGACATCCATCAAAAATCACTGGAATTAGAACGGTCTACCCCAGCGATCGCAAAGGACATTTCCAACCACCTGAAGAAGGCCGGAGTACAACGGCCGAAACGTTGTGACAAATATGGCGACAAAGATAAAGTCCGACTAATGTAAATATTGACTGTAGGTGTTTAATTTACTCTCACTAGAGACACCTTCATGTGATTTCGATTTCAGAGGGGGGGTCTGGTATATAAAAAATATACTTTGTGTGGTTCATTATTCGACAACAGTTGCATCCTTTTTCAGTGCGATGCAGCACCAATGGGCTGAATCTGCAAGTACCTTTCGTTTGTTATTTACAAATCACTGAAATAACACTTGGTGACATTTCCCAAGAGCCCTAAAGAGAAATCAAAACGGAAAAATCAAACGGGTCGTTTCAAAGAGAAATAATGTAATGTGAAAGAAAAAAAAATTACACTTGAAAGTTTACTCTGCACGACATCAACCTTCAAGAATTCATTATTGCTTTGAAACTAATGGCTGACAGCAACTGTGCTGGGGAAAAATTATCTCCCTTCCTTCCTTACTTACATTCTTTCTTTCTTTCTTTCTTTCTTTCTTTCTTTCTTTCTCACTTTTATGTGTGGATACACGCGAACATGTGTATTAGGGAGTATTCATTTGTTATAGTATCTATCTATCTATCTATCTATCTATCTATCTATCTATCTGTGTCCATTATCTATCTATATATCTGTCTAACTCAGTTTATTCATATCTATCCCAGTCTATTCATATCTATCTATCTAGCTCAGTTTATTTGTATCTATCCCAGTCTATTCATATCTATCTATCTATCTATCTATCTATCTATCTATCTATCTCATTCTCATTCATATTCTATCTATCTATCTATCTATCTATCTATCTATCTATCTCATTCTGTTCATATCTATCTATCTATCTATCTATCTCATTATCTATCTATCTATCTCATTCTGTTCATATCTATCTATCTATCTATCTATCTCATTCTGTTCATATCTATCTATCTATCTATCTATCTATCTATCTATCTATCTATCTATCTGTTCTTTAAGCTTTGGAGATGCATATTTGCCTGTATTCGACAATGAAGCCAAAGCAAAAATTTAGGCATTTAAAGACAAATAGTTTCTCTGAATGAGAGATTTAGCGCAATATGCTTTACGTATCAGTCACTACAACTGTGTACTTATAAAATATGAAATGTCACTGTTATTAATTTGTCCATATTGAGAAATATGTAACTAATTCAAACATCATTCCATCCAATCACCAAAATAGAGTATATTATCTATTGTATTTTGAAAGCTTAATTGCCACACGTAAACTTGGCTTCTTGGTAAATGCAACAGTATCTTTGCTCATTGTCGTCTTTCCGTTGTCCTGCAGTTGTCTGTCCACATCTTGATTACTTACTTTCTGCTCCTTACACGTCAACTAACCCGCCATTCACACAAGGACGAGTGTGTAGAAAAGAGACATGGCTACCCTGGCTAACCCAACCCTCAGTGGCTGTCTCTTTGTCGTTCACATCGTAGTCCTTATTTATTTCATTGCTTCAATGTCCAGTTGAATGAGACAGAATGCCACTTCGAGACCACACGTATAATTTGTAGGCGATGCGCTGACAGCCATCCATTGTCCAAGACGGCACTGTTCGCTGAATGGCGAAAGTCCATTAATTCCACGAGAGAATTTCAGACCAATGCGTAATTCCTTCCCGCCCAGTCCTGTTCCAGAATACATCCTTTTTCTAATCCAACCCACTGCTTCTAATTTTCGGCGCAAAAGACAGGGTAGTCATTTTTAAGATGATGGCGAGAATGTATAAGTAGATGTGGAAGCTGAAGATCACACGATTTAGGGAGCAAGATTGCAATGGCGGGAATTCAGGAAATGCAATTTGAATAGAATGATGGAGGTGTGCAAAGAGGAGAATAAGAATCGGGTAGAATTAGGAAGGCGAAAAAGAAAAGGACAGTGAAAACGATGGAAATTGATGAGAAGGAGAAGAACGAGACGGAAAGAGAAAAAAAAAAGTAAAAGAAGAAAGAGTCAATCCAGGAGGAAAGGAAAAGGGAAAAACTGAAAGAAAATGAAGAGAAAGAGAAAGAAAAGAAGTTTGTGAAGGATAAGTCAAGAAGAAGGCTAGAAGAAAGGAATAATGTTTAAAAGACGAGGAGAAAGAAAAGAACAAGGAAAAGAATAAAAGACAAAGAATGAGAAAATGTTTCAAAGTAAGAATAAAAATTTGAAGTTTATATGTAGAAAAGGTGCAAAAGAGAAAGAAAAAAGCGATGAAAAATCTTAAGAATGGTAGGAATAAATTTATAATTCGAAGGAAGAAATGGTTGAAATATTTTGATAAGAAGGAGAGTAAAGTTAAAACGAATAGGAAGGATCTATGACCCGAAGAAAGAATGGGTTGAAAGATTGCGAGAAGAAGAGGAGAAGGATAAAGAGGAAATGGTAAAAAAGAATAAGAAAAGGGGAAGTTGAAAGAACGAAAAGGAGGTTTAAGAATTGTGAGAGAAAACAAAGAGGGTTAGAGATAAGATAGAGAGGAAAAGATTAAAAGAATACGAAGATAAGGAAAGGAAAGAAAGGGAGGATAAAGAAAGAAAAAAGATAAGAAAAGAATGGGAAGATAAGGAAAGAAAAGAAAAAGAAGAAAAAGAAAGAAAAGAAAGGGAAAATATGGAATGAAAAGAAAAAGAAAAAAATGGATAAGAATTATGGGGAAGAAGAAAAAGACAGTATATAAAATTGTCGAGTGACGGGAAGCGCAAATGGGTGGCATCTGTGGTAGGGTAAAAAAAAAAAGAAGATTTTTCCCCCTGATTTTCTGAAGTGCTCTAAGGCACGTAACTACAATAGAGGGGACTGATGGGTTTCGTGGAATGTTTCTGCTCAGATTCATTAGTCAAATTCCTTCGAGGCGAAGAAGTGGGGCCCGAAAACTGATGCAATCGGAACGTTCGTCTGGAAGAGGACGAGACAATGTTTGGCCGGAAGACGACAACAGCACCAAGGAATGGGGAGTAAGAAGTGTTAGAATTGTCTCGTAGACAAAGAGTAATAGAGAAAGAAAAGGGAAGTTAGACAGAAGGGCCGGCATTAGAGATTTAGTTATTTCCTCTGAAGCTCTTGGATGGCGCAATGTTTCTTATTTAATGTGCTGCGTCCCTACAGCACGTCGGTAATCATGACTCTCCACAACTTCCGGCCTTTTATTGCTACAAGTAACTTTTAACTCTTAACTATTTCTCTTTGTCTCTATCCTGCTATCCGTTCACACAAGCATCCCTTTTCTTTCTGTTTTTCTTGCCTTTGATACAGACTGAGAGTGCTAAGGGCCTATTTTCTCATTGTGTCCCCGAAATTCTAATTTATATTTAAGTTAGCGATAAATATTGTGAATTTCCGCTTATAATAGCCTACTTTATTAAAATATTGAATGATCTACAATGTAATAGATCCTTACCTGGCATCTCGACTTCAGTCACTTTCTCACCGAGGTGACATGACTTCCATCTGTCTTTTCTATAAATATTTTCATGACAACTGCCCAGACGAATTTTTTTCCCTGGTACCCCGACTACATGTATTTAACTGTGCTACTAGATTGGCAATTAGGTCCCACCGTTTTACTGTTGAAATAGATAAAATCCAACCGCCACTTATATCCCTGGCAGTTTATTTCCTCGAACTTTCTACCACGGGACTCTTTTCTTTTTACTTGCTTTCCTGATTATTACAATCTCCAAAAATTTAAATGCAACGTCAATCGCCATCTTCTATTTTTTTTGAATGTCCTTCATCTTTTGTCCTTTCCCCAATCTTCCCTATTCTCTTTCACTTTTGTTCTCTGTAACCCCCTCCCACTGCGTACAAGTGACAATCCCGCCTTGCTTGGGATGAAATGATTAAAAACAAAGCAAAAAGAATCTTCCTTTTTTTTTTGAGGGGTTAGTTTCATTATCCAAAACAATGATGCGAAACAACAATTTTATTTATGACTAAATCCGAAAGATATAGGCTACGTGTAGGAACATTTACATGATTAACACAATGTCACATATACCTGAATAACACAATGTCACATATACATGAATAACACAATGTCACATATACCTGAATGAATTATTATGTTATTGTTTATTGTTTTATCAGTTTTTACTATAAAAATAAAAATAAAAGTACTATAAATAAAATCAATTAAAATTTAAGAGCCTGCATCCTTAGATGCATATAAAAATAAATAAATTTTATTGAGCACTTTTTTAAAATAAATGCTACGAGCTGTGGATTTTTACCCTATCTGTTATTTCTCTCATTTGATATATATATATATATATATATATATATATATATATATATATATATATATATATATATATATATATAGAGAGAGAGAGAGAGAGAGAGAGAGAAACCGACGTGTTCTGGACCAACTCTGCTATGGAGTGCGTCATCGACCAGACAAAGTCGAATAATGCATTATAAACGCAAATCTTCATCGGATTCTTGAATTCATTCATATCTGTTCAGTTTCAAATCTTAACGAAAAACAATGCAGTTTTTAAAGGAGATTTTTTTCTTAATATTTTTCGAATATCCATATTTGAGTAGATATTCTATTTGTTTATCGAACGGCTCGAATATTCGAGACATGACGGTTACTCAAATATGAATATCCAATAAAAATAACCTTTAAGTGAAAACATCAATCAGATGAATAAACCAAAATCATTCCTTGTCTACGTCACAACACTCTTGACCCACGTGACTACACACGCAATCTTACTGTTAACAGATATATTTACTAAAATTACCCCAAAATATTTTGAAATACTAAAGAGTAAATTTATTCAACAAAATTCCAATTGGCTTCATCCTGGTCTCCAGACGACTTCGGAATCTCTTACAACTCTTCTGGAACGTCTCTTTGTTTAAGTTAATGCTGCCATATCTCAGTTCATCTTGTGTGTCACAAGAAGTTTTGTTGGGGTCTCTCGCTCAATTGCATTCCACAGGTAATAATAAATGGGGTTGCAAGTCAGGGGAGCTACATAAGGTGTAATTTGGCCGGAGAAATTGTCTGACAGCCATGAAAGGTTTCTCCTGCTTTTGTGCCATGGTGCAGAGTACTGTTTTCAGACAGAGGTTCTTTTATCAAACGTCCTCTTGTCCCAGGGCTACACTACCTGTTCATGGCACTTGAACCTGAGGACCTGTAGGAAGATGGAAGCATAACGTCGCCATCACTAGTAATCAGCATTAGTCTCATCCAACTTTTTCCGAATCCTCTGCATTGTCCTCATATTGAAACCCAAACACTCTGAAATGTTCGTATTGGAGTTTCCGGTGCGAATGCCAAGCAGTACAGCATGCCGTTTCCAAATTTCTGAGTGCTGGTACTCTTTTTCTCACAGACGATGCCCAACTGAACCTACTATACTATGCAGTTGACGAAATCAAAGTCAACGAGCACTTGCGAGATTAAAATATAAAATGACAACAATTTACCCATTCCAACCTATATATATATATATATATATATATATATATATATAAACATCACTAGTGTTTACCTATAGACTGAACTGTAAACCTGACCAAAATTTCCCTGTAGCTTCAAGTATAATGCAGATTATTTTTCATATATATATATATATATATATATATATATATATATATATATATATATAACGTAATAATTTAAGAAATATTTTTCTATTGGATTACTGTCCTGAGTAAAACGATAAACTACATCCGCATCCTCGGTAAGACGATAAAGTGGAATTTGAGGCCTGGGCAGCTTCCACCCAAATATGACAACAGTATTCTATTTTCAGCCTGATAAGATATAAAGGTAGAGAATAGCAAGATTGTAGGAAAGAATCTGTTAGATTGGAAATTACTTCTCCCCGATGGAATACGGAGTCAATGTTTTCTACAGTACGAGGGAACATTAGAACTGGGGGGGGGGACAAAGCGATTTATCTCCGCATTTCATTCAATTCTGCCATCCGAAATTTATTGAACTCGTTAATGCACATGACAATTTCAGTAATAATTAAAAAAATAAAATCAAAGTCCTGTATTAATTATAGGTATATAATAAAATCTAGAGTTACTTATGGGTTTATAAAAATCCAGTATTAATTAAATATTTCTACCTAAAACCCATTAACGCCTGCTGTGCTGAAAATACGACGATGCGAGATAATGGGTTAAAATCTATGCAATCAAAGAACATATTTCTTTTTTTTAAAACAATTCACCCTAAAGTAAGGCGATAATGCCTCTAAGACAAAAGCAGGCTACTGGGAGTGAAAGAGAATAAGAAGACTTTAGAAGGAACTGGTAAGTCAGGTCTGGGCAGCTTCCGCTCAAATACGGCAACAGTACGCCATTTTCATCCGAATCTGCTCTCATATTTAAAACTGTCACCAAACTATGTACAAGGAAACATTTGGATAATACTAATAAAGATTAGGACCATTGTCCACGTGTAAATAGTGTAAGCAAAGCCTTTTTTCCTATTGGATTATTACCTGCCCATTAATTTAGTATCTTTGAAACAATTCTTTTGCTATAGTTATCCAATGTCAATTTTTCAGAATGTAAAAGAAAAGACTTGTCTTGCATGAAGAAACATTTTCATTTAAAGCTTCTTCTTTGTGACTTGCACCAATTAAAACACATCTTGTCCAATAACTTACAATAATTCTTTGCACTTATCTTGCCTCTTTTATCAGTTTTGAAAATATCTATATTTTTACTTCTAATAATAATCCTCCAAACACTAAGTCCCCACTCCAGTCATTGTTGTCTTGAAAGTCATGTTTGGCAATTTCCATTAAGGATTGAGCCTTAATGTTCATCCCTAAAGATTTTTTGTTTTACTGTGTAAACATTCATTTGAACAATAAAATATGCCATAATATAGCAATTTTTGAGTGGATCTGTTTATTATTTAAGAACAATAAAAAATCGATCCCCTTCTTTGTGTCCAGTAGAAGCATACATTAGTATTTACCGAACATATATATTTCAAAAATAAACTCAAAGACAATCTGAAATGATGCAGCATCCCCCACCCCATTTTCTTCCATGGAAAGCAAAGCATCCGAGCGAAAGAGATGTCATGGGGGAGTAGTGATTCTGTTAGGAAAAGTGATATTCGGAAAAAACCTAGGCGTAGATTAATATTTGGATAATATTCAATAGTGGCACTATCAAAGATTTTCATTCTCAGTGAATTATTTTCTTTTTTATGTCTGTAGTATTTATAAAATCAAAATTGTGGTTGAATTTATTTCTATATGTAACTAGTGCATTTGCTAAATTGTTATTTATAAGGTCTCTTTTGTGCTCACAGAAGCGCTTTTTAAATTTCTGCATTTTTCTCGAAGCCAACGGACACACCAAATATATCAAGAAATCAAAAGAAAACGGTTGAATCCGTAAACACAACAATACAAAGAATATTTATACACGTGAAAATATTCTCTTCAAACATAAAGCAATTGACGTAATTTTTAAGTTGACCATATGTATATACAATAGCGTTTCTAAATTCTTGCTAACGTCATTTTGTTTGTTATTTATAGATACTTTGTTTCAATAAATTTATTTCGTTTTTTACCTGGAAAAAGTCGACATTGGACGAAACGAGTTGGCTAATACAGTTTTCCTATTGTCCTTTCCTTCGTACATCAGGTTAATTTTGAGAAATTTTTATACACACAAACACACACACACACACATATATATATAACATTTAATATATATATCTATATATATCTATCTATAGATATATATATATAATATAACATTTTTCGTTCAGCATTTGGTTAATGCCAATTTTAATACGAAAGAATTGTAATAAAATCTGCCTTTGTGTTAAACTTAAAGCTATAATTATTCTCAGCTTAACAATATATATGAAACCTCAAAGTAAAATGTGCAGTTCACTTTAAATGTCTTTTTTTTAAAATAATAATACTATGTCCCGAATGGATCTCGGTGGTGGTAGCTTTCTACTTATTTTTATTTAGTAATTAATATTTTTTTACCAGGTTACTTAAGTATTAAAGTATTAATTATGGA